AATATATAAGAAAGAAAAAAAATATATTTCAGTCCAACTCATTTCATTTAAATTCCTGTGTAGGAAAGTTTTATTTAATCATATTTTTTTTAAAATATTGTTATTTAAACATTTTAATTACCTCTCTGGAGCTGATGTTTTAATATAGTATGTCTGTTAGTAGCTTACTTATAGAGTGTGATGCCAGATAGAATACATTTAGTGTTTATATCACTAAAGTACTGTATCTAGTGAATCTGTAGATTCATTACTAAGTCTTGATGTTTACCAAGACAATGCAGTAATTGTATTTAACTCCTCTTAATAGAAGGCACTTCTCATGAAGAAAACTGGAGTTTTTACCCTAATGCAGTCAGGACTGCAGGGTTCTGTGGAAATCCATCATTCCATCTCTACTGGCCAAATAAGAAAAAGGACAAAACACACAACATCCTGTCCTCCAGGGAGCTCATTATACAGCCAGGATACATGATGCAGTTTAAAGTAAGAAATGTTCTCTCTCTCTGAAGTAAAGTATGCAATGAAAAATCATCTCATGTGTCTCCAGAAATTCTTCTTCTTCCAACTAGGATGGCCAACTGGATGAATAATTAATAATGACTTCTTATTAGGATTTAAAGGAAATTCTGAAGTGTAAAGAATGGGAACCAGGAAGGTTGCATGAATGTTAAATGTCAAATTAGTCTGACTGTCTGTATGCTTTGAGGGTTACTGAGAGTGACTGGAAGTCTAATCCATTTCTCATGAAATTACTGGATCATCAGATACAGTAGGAATTATTTTCTAAGGTGAGAATACATGGCATGCAGAATATGCCATTTCCCCCTAACTAGTGAATAAGCAGAAAAGGCAAGGTAGAGGCATGCTGGAGAAGAGTGGCATCTTGAAAACACAAAAGTCCTCAAGTAGAAGTACCCCTTCTACTTACTTGTGTCATGGCAAAATATCTAAATAGTCAGAGAAACATTTCTGAACATTTTATTTTGTTTTAAGGTAGAATTCTGCATGGGCCAGAGGCAACATGTAGTTGTTGTCCAGAAATGTTCTAGGCCCTTTCCCAAGCACCATGTCTTAAAAGCCAGGAACTAATATGAAAGCAAGGTTATCAAAGCTGTCACCTACTTTCTTGTTATGTTTTTTTTCTTGCTCTTCTGTTTGACAAGACAGTTCCAGAATTTTCCATTTTCCGCTAATCAATATTTTCACCTTTTCTCAACATCATTGCCTATTTTATATTGACTGTCTCATATACTCCCTCCAAGCACTGCTTCTCCCACTTACACAGCATGTCATCTTTGAAGAAATTACATAAAAGAGGAGTCTGACATGCTTTTTACTACTGAATGCCAAGACCCCCCAAGCTGCTTATTTTACCTAGCCTATCATCTTTTTCCTCTATTTTAAAGGCAAAAATTATGATAACCCTTCAGCATTTAACAGTTCGTATTACTAACCTCTCATTGCAAATGATTTCTTCACCAGTCACAGCAAAGATTTTATTTCTACACTAAGAACTCAGCTCTAGTGCATGGCTGCCATTTGGTTTTGAAGCTCTTACATTTTAGCTTTCTATTATCTATTCAGTACTGTACATTGAGTACTGTAATCTTTCCACTCTAACATGACACAAATATGCTTATTGTTTAAAATATTCAGAATAATTCTGTTGTTAAATTGGATTTACTTCAAGTTTATATCCACATCTTTATCATTAAGAATTACAAATTTCACAGGTAATTAGCACATAGTCAGGTACTTTACTTTCTGAAATTCCAAGGAGCTACCACATCTCTGTGTTTCAGAAACAACATTTGTTTAGATATTTAATTTGAACTTTAGGCACTTAGTGTTAGGATTCTGTTTGAAAATAACAGTAGCAATGAAGTAAAATTCATTAAGAAAAAGCAGTATCTGAAGTACTGTGTCTTTTGTTTTCCACCCACTTTTGATGGATTTTGTCCGAGATCTAAGTTGGCAATCTGTTTTATACACCTTGTAAAGACAAAAAGGAGAGCAAGACTTCATTATGTATCACATTAAATGTCTACCTGATTTGTTATAGCAGCCAATTTTATTTGTGCTACAGATTGTGGTGGGCTGTGAGGCAACTTCTTGTGGGGACCTCCACTCTGTGATGCTGGAGTATACAAAGGATGCCAGGTAAATGAGAGCAGAATACATAGACCTGAAAAAAAAAAATAGTATGATATTAAAAGCCTAGAGAGCTTTTATTTATTAAAGCAATTACTTTGATATTCATCTTGTAACAGGATCTGAACAAAGCCTGTTTGCAAGCACTGGGATTTGTCTACATAGCTTCCATAAATTCTCTTTAAAATTTATCCCAGATGTTGACAGATTCATGGCATTAAGCTTGCAGTTACAGTCATGAGCATGTTCTTTGTAAAATGTGCTCTCAGAAAAACACATTCACAGGAAACTGTTGTCTTAGTAAGATACAGGACTATACATTTAGGACCAAGCTGTAATGAAGTGGAAGTTACTTAATTCCAATTTGGTCTTTAACCAGCAAACAATTAATAACACTGTCTCCTGTGCTGCAGTATAGCAGCGCATTATAATTTGTAAAAGCAGAGGTATATTCAGTGCTCAGATGACTGTGGGTGAACATGGAGCAAATTCTGTCAGACTCTTTTCTGAACACTGCAAGAGAGAGACTAAGGAGCGGACTCCTAAATAAATCCTTCTGTCACGCCAGCCCAGAGGAGCTCTGGGTTGGACTCTGCTGTGTGTTCCACCACCAAGGGAATCACAGCACTCAAACCTGGTGCTGGAAAGTCCTCCCTGGCTGCACCGGCGTTTCAGCCTCTCACCTCTTGTCTATCTGTGTCTACAGAGCATGGAAACTATTGCTGACAATGTCCTGGCTTTGTTTAGTAAGGCAGGCAATGGCAGGCCCTTAGAAATTACCCGTTTCCCTTTCATTATTCTTTCAGTTGTTCTAAAACTTTTTTTTTTTGTTTCCTACAGGACAGACTCATGGCAGCTCGTCCAGACACACTGTCTTCCTTCCTCATCTAATAGCATTGGCTGTTCCCCATTTCAATTCCACGAAGCTACCATCTATAACTCTGTCAACAGCTCCATGTGGAGAAGAATAACTATCCAGCTGCCTGATCATGTCTCATCCAGGTAGGTTACTGAAAGGTCAGCTCACTGTGGGCCTATAAAATGTCAGCTGTCTTGCTGGCACTGTTCCCTTGGAACAACTGGTGAATTTTAAATGTGTCTTTATTGCTGGATTTAGATCCGATACATAATTAATGTTTTTCAGGAAGCTTTTCGTAATAGAAGTAGCTACTGCCAATGACATAGCAGCCACCGATTGAGGATGGGTCTTTCCAGTTATTGAAGTCACAACCCCTTCATGCCACATTTTTCATTACATCTGCTGCTGGCATATTTGAATGTCGCTGTACAGATGTTTTTAATTGCTAGACATCATAATACAGTGTTTGGATTTTTATATTTGCAGTGCAACTCAGTTCAGGTGGATTCAGAAGGGAGAAGAACTAGAGAAGCAAAGCTGGGCAATTGACCATGTGTACATTGGGGAAGCGTGCCCTAAGCTCTGCAGTGGTCACGGATATTGCACAACTGGAGCCATTTGCATTTGTGATGAAGGATACCAAGGTTTCATTTCTTCAGTTTCTTTCTTATACATCTGCTGTAGTCTAATCTAGCTCAAGATTAAACAAAAAGATAAAGACAGAGTGATGTAACATGTCTAAATTAATCACTGGAATGCTTGAGTAACAGCTTATAAATTAATAATTTGACAGAGCTGCAAATAACAGCTTTTCCCTTACTCTTTCTGGATTGAATCTGCTGTAGTCTCTGCTGTCTGGCACTGTATGTAAAGTCATTCAGCCTTCACTGAAGGCAGAGCATGGCTACCTGCTTACCCAGAAATAGCTTCCACCCCTGTACTCATTCCAAGGGTGCATCCACTCCCAGGGGATATGTACATGGGATCCAGATGTTGGTGACCGGCCCCTGTAAGGGACTCGGTCCTGTGTCCCATCAGGACAGAGTGCTCTGCTCTAATCCTGCAATGCAGCTAAGCACATGCCTAACGGTACCTGAGTGCCCTCGTTAAATTATAAGTGTTTTGTGGGAGTGGAGCCAGTGTTTAATGTCTTCCAGGACAGAGTCTCACAACTTTATAAGATCGGATCCCCTCCCTGTTTTAGATGCATTTTCCTTCAACCAGCAATTTGAGGTTTCTCATATTGGCATCAATGCAAAATAGGAGAAACTGTATTGCAGTTCTCAAAGTTACACTGCTGTAAAAAATAAGACTCACAGCCTCAATTTTCTAAAAATGAATGCTGCACAGCAATGTGCACATTATTAATGGATCTGCTGAAATATATTCAGCCTGTAGTCACACTGTATATTGGGCCACAACCTTGAACAGAATTACAATGAACTGTAACTCAATTTTCTCAATTTTTTTGATTTTTGTATGGTTTATAACTTCATTGTGTCATTTCCAGGTGATGACTGCTCTGTTTTTAGCCATGACCTCCCCAGTTATATTAAAGATAATTTTGAATCTGAAAGAGTCACTGAAATAAACTGGGAAACAATTCAGGGGGGAGTGATAGGGAATGGATGTGGACAGCTGGCACCCTACGCCCACGGAGATTCGCTGTATTTTAATGGATGTCAAATACGACAAGCTGTGACTAAGCCTCTGGATCTCACCCGAGCAAGGTAACACTTTGAGCCTAAAATGCTCTTTTAGCAGTTCACGAGAAAGGAAACTCTTCATATGTACATGCAGTCATGTCGGCCAGTATTGAGGAGGATGGCCTGACCTGGCTCTACCATGCAGTCAGATGTGGCTGGCAGATAAACATTAGGGTTGGCAAAATGCTTTGTGACTTCCATTTGGGAGATGGAGAGTGAGGAGGAAGCGATGTCAGATGAAAAGGTCAGATGTTTTCATCATGCCCAACAGAGCACTGTCTAGTAAGCCAGCGCTGAAAATGATGCCATTGGCAAAGACTGGACACCAGACTGCCTGGACCAGTGCCTGATCTGATAAGACAAATCCCATGTTTGTATGTGCCTCCACGATGGTCATGGCTAAAGATGCTATTAGTAATTATGGACTCATTTTCCCGTTTCAGTTGTCAAATAGAATTATATTCACCTGGCAATGAACAGGAGTATCTTTTTCATCTACTGAGCCTCTTTGGCCATGGAAAAACAAATGCAACCAGCCTGTGCTGGCTCTTAACAGAGTGACAGCTTTCTGGACTGGTTTGTATTTACTCGTCTAAAGCAAGATTAGAAACAGGATGAATTGGCAAATGGGCCAGATATAAATCAGGCTTCTCCTTTCTTATTTGAACACCCAGGTAGAATATGATAAATCTTTTACACACTTTATTATATTCAACCTTTACTTGCCCTTTTTTAGCTTTTCATATGCTCATTTGCATGTTTATATTGTTTACGTATCTCAGTTTTGTGCAGATACATTGTAAAACTGGGTCTATTGCCTCCAACGATATGGCAATATGTTATACATAGTAAACTATTACTTTGAAGGGGGAGCGGTGTTTGAGAGATGTGAGAACAGTTTATTTTGCATGTTAAAAGTAATGATTCTTGAGGGTGCTCAAAGTTTTAATAAGGTAACTGCAGTAAACCTGGAAATGTTATTGTTCCTGTTTGAATACTTTTTGCACATTGAAAATACCTTTTCTCTCTGTGTTTTACAGCAAAATCATGTTTGTTTTGCAAATTGGAAGTATTTCACAAACAGACAGTTGCAATACTAATCTGAGTGACCCTAACACTGTAGACAAGGCAGTGCTCCTCCAATACAGTGTAAATAATGGAATTACATGGCAAGTAATTGCACAGCATCAGCCAAAGGACTTTATACAAGCCCAAAGAGTGTCTTATAATGTTCCCCTGTGAGTATCCAGTCACATTTCATTACCTCTAAGTTCACAAGATATGTTTCTGCTAGGAAAGAATCTACCTTTGCATCGTTGTGCAAGAAAAAAGGTTGATGAGAGGGTAAACACAGAAGAAGACTTAAGGGGAAGGCTGATTAAGAAATTCCAGCCTAGTGTTTATCAACATACTTGAAAGAAAAACAGAATATTCATTTTAAAGATATGAGGGGGAAAAAAATTCTTCCTTATCTGTGTGCATTTTTCACCCTTAAATGTTTTGCATGTACAGTGTGTTGATGTTCAGGGATATAGAAATAACGCTTTGACGTTGCTCTCAGTTCCCATTGGGTGGTAGATAGGGATGTGCAAACCACCGATAATCTGGAGCTCTCACAGGCTCTTGCATTTGTGACAACAGGGAAGCACGAATGAAAGGAGTCTTACTGCGCTGGTGGCAGCCCCGTCACAATGGAACAGGTCATGATCAGTGGGCTTTGGACCACGTAGAAGTCGTCCTGTGAGTATCAGCCTCACCTCATCCCATCCCATCTCAGAAAGCACTGAAATTCCTCCAGCATGGCACAAGTGTTAAGCTCAGTAAGAAACGTTGTGGCCCAGGGAAACCTTTGAGAACCAGTCTTTGCTAATGCTCCACCCTGACTGCAACTGTCAGTGGTTGAGACAGCCATGAAATAAGTGGCATAGCAGGGGTATGTGTTGTGCATCGTGGAAAAACACAGGAGGGAAAGCGGGGTTTTATCACCACCGAATATTGGTGTGGTCCTGTAATGCAGCAATGCCTGCGAATATATATTTTGCTGGGACACAAGAAAAGATATTTCTGTTCAACACTGAGCTGCCATGTAAGGCTGATTTATATCCTTTCGAAGATACAAAAGACTCTGCTGTATTGCTCTTTGCACAAAGTAATGTTGTTGTGCCTCTGAAAAATTTGCGTTAGCAACTAATGCCTTATTCATTTCCTTTTTTTAGTAAGAAGGATACTGTTCAGAAACAGGGTTCACTATATCAGGTTCCTATGGTCCGAGCTCTATATTCATCCCCTTGTCAAGATTTTACCAAGTAAAGTGTCTGCACCCTCCTGATTCTCCCATTCTTGAGATGGGTTTCGCTGGCAGCTAACCCGTTTTTCCTGTGTTACGTCATGAAGAGATGACCTGCTTTTTCTCTAATGATTTAGTTCCAGTAGAAGTGAAATGCTAGTGGCTTCACGGGCGGGAACTCATCGCTGACAGTGGTTGGCAGAGAGAGGCGTGCCTGCTCCATAGATAGGTTCAAATATTCCTTTTGTTGAACAATTTAAAAACCAGCAATGAAGAAATTAGGCTTGGATAACCTCCAGACTGTGTAATTATAACCATAAGGTTGTGAATTAGCAGAGACACTGCAAGTAATGTTTTGTAATGGTAGCAAAGTGAATTATCTGATTGCTAGTTAGCCCTGTTCTTTCCACTGAGAAGCATTGCATGGCACTCATATCAACCAAACCAAAGTGGTCCCAACACTGAGTAACTGTACACGCTCTGCTGCTTTTACACACTTTGCTGGGCTCTGCTTCCATAACATTAAGCTTAAAGCGTAAAGGAACAGAGGGATGGATGTGATTCCTGGCTTAGTTAATCAATGGCTACATGATGGTGCATCAGGAAAGATATGAAAGAGTATGAACCTGCAGGAGGTTCACAGTGTTTAGGAAACAATGGGAAAGGGAACTGGTAGTTCTGAAATATTCCCATGTCTTCCTGCTTTGCAAAAAAAAAAAAAAAAAAAAAAAGAAAAAAACAGGTGGGGAAAAAAAAACAGAGCATAATACAATCCGTCAATCCGAGCATTGAATTAGGGAGTATAAGTAGGAATACGACAGACCTTTTAAAAGCTATTCTTAGGCTGAATTCTGGAGAACTTTCTTGACAAGATCTGCCAGGTTTTAGACTAGACACACAAGTTGAATGGTGACAAGTCAGTCATATGAGATATGTTATACTAGAATGGAGACAGCAATAGCAATGCTATAGCAAGTAATCACACCTTGCCTACAGAAGGAACCAGATGGGCAGACAGTGCCTTCTCCCTTCTCTTCTTTCTCTCCTGTTACAGAGCTTTAAGGCTCTTCTGAATATTGGCCAAAATATCAGGCTAGAAACAGAGTTTCCATCCCATTCAAGTGACATCTGGTACAACCCACAGAGGAAGACAGACCAAGCCAGAGAGATTTCTCCCTTAACACATACTGTGAAATGCAGTGCCATGGCAGCATACTTCCCAAAGGCCAGATGTGCAGTTCCAGCCCCTGCTAACAACAACACGTGAGACATGCTGCTCTCAGGAAAGGCAGAATTACATGCTGTGGCACACCTGGTTCATATGCTGGCACGTGCTCCAACATGACAGGTGGCTTTGACCCCTCTGTTTTGTTTAAGTTCTATCTGCACCTTCTAATTCATCAAAATATTCTATAGTTTTATTTACAAGTAACACACAAAGGGTTTGATAAAGCCTTTGGAAGGCTTTTTGAAGGGAAGCACACCATTCCTCGTCAATAGATACTCCCACCTGGGTTTTCCTTTAGCTCTGCTGTTTAACTCTGCCACCTCACACTGGTCCCTTTGCCCCCCAGCACTTCAGTTTCCTCACCTGTAAAATGATAAAGACACTCAGTCACCTCCACGGAGTGCTTCCAGGCATACAGAAGGGAGCCTGGATCAGTGTCTGTTAGCACTAACCCTGGATGATCCTGCACACATCAGGGCTACCAGGATTCATACCATGAATACTAGGGGCAGGACTTAGCTTTAATTCTTAGCGTCCCTTCATTTTCCAATGAAGGGCACAGAAACCCTGCCTGCCCCTGGGGGGAGCAAGCCCCCTCGCCCGGGGAACTCTCCAGCAAGAGGTGAGGACGCAGCGTCCCTTGGGTGCTCTGCCCCTCCATCGAGATTGCCAGAGGAGAGCTCTGCGGGTGATAGCCACCCCAAGGCTCTCTGGCATGGCTGCAGAGAGTCATGGCCTGAACTAAAACCATTCACCAGGGTGCTCGCATTACCTCTTCCCATTAATTCTGTAGGGAGTCCTTGGAGAGTCAGTAGGCTTCTGCCTGGCTTATTTGTCCCAAAGCTGGGATACCTTAGGAAACATCTG